AAAAAAAGATGCTAGAGATCGCATGATATAATTTTACAAGGTCAATCACTTCTTCATGGCAAATACCTTTTTTAAACAACATAAAAGACCACTATACTCATGGACCTCACCAGATGGGATACACAGAAATCAAAGTGACTACATCTGTGGAAAGAGACAGAGGAAAATCTCCACCATCAACCAAAACAGGGCCAGGAACAGACTGAAGAACAGGCCATCAATTGTTTATATGCAAATTCAGGCTGAAACTGAAGAAAATGAAAAGCAGTCCGTGAGAGTCAGATAGGACCTTTAAACATATCCCACCTGAATTTAGAGATCATCTGAAGAACACATTTGATACATTAGACACTAAAGACCGAAGACCAGAAGAGTTGTGGGATGACATCAAGAACATCATACAGGAAGAAAGCAAAAGGTTGTTGAGAAGACAAGAAAGAAGGAAAAGACAAAAATAGATGTCACACAAGGAGATTAAAGGATTTACCTCAAGGTCACCCGGCTGGTTGCTTAAAGTAAGAGCTGGAACTGGAATCCAAACACATTAACCCCAAGGCTACTCCTTTCCTCCATCCCCCATAGCTATTCATAGTGTACTGCATTGGCATTAATGACTGAAATGTAACAAGTATTGGGAGATTTACTTATCTTGTTTGTCTCTAAACTTTTTCTAGAAGACCAGTATTTGACCTCTCCCCATTACCAATAAGTTTTTTTCTTTCAGAGACATGATCTTTTTGAGAAATTCTGGTATTCCTCTTGCTTGTGCCAACCTAAAGTTATTTTTTTGTGTGTGTATATTCCTCTAGTGTCTTTAGCCTCGAGTACGGTTGGCTTGGCTGGACAGGTTGTTCACACAGAAACCACAGAGGTTGTGCTGACAGCGGATCCTGTCACTGGATTTGGGATACAACTGCAGGGCAGTGTGTTTGCCACAGAGACTCTCTCTTCTCCGCCTCTGATTTCCTACATTGAAGCTGACAGCCCGGCAGAGAGGTGAGGCTCTTCCTTTCACAGCATCTTCCTCTACTCTGCATTTCTGGTGCTAGCTATCTTTGAGTAGCTAATAAATTATGTAACAGTGCTCGATGCAGGAAATGCAAGATGTAATGAACTCTCTGTTCTGACAATAAAATGTTATGTTCTTGATCAGGTTTGAGAAGAGTTAATGAGTATGGATACCTTTATCTATAAGATTTTGTCCATCAGGGACCACAGGCTATATTAATTAAAAAGGACAAAATCCATAAAAAAAAAAATCTCTTAAATTCAAACTTTAATAATTTCTCCGCCATGGGGGATTGTACACTCATTATTACTGCATGTTGGCTCAGATCAGAATCTAACAAATACCACAGTGCTGAATTATTAATTACTTGACTAGGATGCTTCAGGTTTCCCTTGATCACATAAGTAGCCATGAAATGCAAACGTGCAAGACATTGTAGCTATGGGTTGGGCACTGAGCTGCTAACCTCAAGGTTGGCAGTTCTAACCCACCAGCCACTCCTTAGAAGAAAGATGCGGCTGTCTACTCCCTTCAAGATTTACAGGCTCAGAAACCCTCTCTACAGTTGCTGTGAGTCGGAATCAACTCAATGGCAGTAGGTTTGGTTTTGGTTTAATATGATCCCTGGTGGCACAAACAGTTAAACGCTCAATAGCTCGCTGAAAGGTTGGTGGTTCTAACCTCTTCCTCCCCACCCAGAAACAACTGGGAACATGGACTTGGCATTCTGCTTCTGAAAGGTCACAGCCTTGAAAACCCTGTGAAGCAGCTCGACTCTGCACACATGGCATTGCTATTAGTTAAGAGTTGACCAGACAACATGTACAGCAGCCATGGGATGCCCCTAGTTGTCATTAAGTGCTGTCAAGTTGGTTCTGTGTATGGTTTCAAGGAGCAACTGGTGGGTTTAAACCACTAACCTTACAGTTACAGTCTAGTGCATATCCTATAGCACCACACCGAATAACAAGGTAAAATTGTTAATGCTTTTGTACAAGGAGCATATAAGGTAGATTTGGCCATCTCAGCTTTAGAATTTTTTCTTCTATCTACAGTCTCTTAACACGTGGTTCTAAATTTAGGTGTGGGGTGCTACAGATTGGAGATCGAGTGATGGTCATTAATGGAATTCCAACTGAAGACAGCACCTTCGAGGAAGCCAATCAGCTCCTCCGAGATTCTTCCATCACTAACAAGGTCACCCTGGAGATTGAGTTTGATGTTGCAGGTAGGATCATATAGCTGTCAGGACTGGAATGCATGAGAACTATGTTGATTGTGTAGAAGAGGGGAAACATTTTTTTTTAAGTTTTTGTTGTGAATTGAGTGATAGTTTACATGGGAGAACATCAGCTTTACATTCATCCTGTTGTATTTTGTTGCATCGCCATGATTACAATTTCCTCCATACATCATCATTCAACAGCATTTGCTTCCATTCCCTCTGTTACTGTTTTTTTTTGGTTGTTTTTTTTGTAATACACTGAAACACTCAGGAATATATAACCATTCAAACAACCAAAGAGTACACTGGGACGGGACATTTTTTAAAATAATAAAATGTTTTTGTTCAGGAGGTTTAGAGAATTATTTTGAATTAAGCACTGTTTTTGTATTACTCATTAAAATATCAACATAAGAACAACTGAAAATAAATGTGACAAACTGAATCAGTAATAACCACTATGCTGTTTTTATGTGCCGTCAAGTTGGTTCCACCTCAAAGCGACCTTGTATAGTGTTTCCAAGGAGCAGCTGGTGGGTTTGAACTGCCGACCTTGTGGTTCGCAGTCCAGTGCTGATCCTACAGCGCCACCGCAAGAGTCTGATAGTCACTGCTGAGAAGATTTTTTTTATAAAAATCATGTAAGTCTTATTCTTTCTGACTTTCCTCTACCTGCTAAGGAAATAATATTCTTCCGTCAGAGGCACCAATAACCTCTCTTTGTCCCTTCCCACAATCTCTTTACCTTGAAAAGAACACGTGAGAGTTCTGTAGGAAGCAAAGAGCATTCATTAGGTGGATTTATACAAGTCCAATAGGTAAATATTTGTTCTGTAACGAACAAGTATAGCTAGGTCCCATTGAAGAAAGTTGTCTTCACAAAGGGAACTCCTACTCCACAGACCCAAGAATTCTTACCAATAAGTAAAGACATATCACATCATCTCAACGAACACTGAGCATATGACAGAGGGACTCTAGTGGCACAACGGTTAAGCACTTGGCTACTAACCAAAAAAAAAAAAAATCTGCAGTTCAAACCCACCTTGAGGCTCTGGGGAGAAAAGACCTGGTCTTCAGCTCCCAGAAAGATTACAGCCTAGGAAACCCTATAGGGTAGTTCTGCTCTGTCCCACTGTGAGTCAAAAATTACTCAACAGCACACAACAATACAACATACACTAGTTACTCTTCTAGCAGTGGTAAACAAGAAGCTTGGATTATTTTTGTCCTCATTAAGCACCTGCATTATAACAGCACAGAAAGGTAATAAAATTTATTGAAATACAAATTAGATCCCGAGAAGAACTCTGAGGAAAATAAAGCCAGGTATGAAATGAAAGAATGACTGTTGGATAATTCTCTAGGAAGAGACATTGGAGCAGAGATTCAAAAGTTGAGAAGGAGCCAGTCATGCCAGGATCTGGGAGGAATGCTTTCTGTCGACAGAGAAAGCAGCCAGTGTAATGGCTGGGAGCCAGAATTATAAGCTTGATCTGTTTTAGAAACAGCAAGGAAAAGCTGTTGCTGAAATGTATAGGAGGGTCAAATTTGTATTTGGAAATGGGTTTGGAGAGGTCAGAACGGGCCATGTCATATAGTGCTTAACAAATCGTCTCGATTATATCCTAAGTGTAATGAAGCCATGGAACATTTTATCCAGAGAGTGAGGAAATCTGATTAATGGTTTAGAAACATTTAGAAAGGTCCCTTTAAGTGGAGTGGAGGCAAATATCCTTCAACCAGGGAAGCTCTGGGAATTGGAAATTGAATGTAATGAAAGGACCATCCACACAGTGAAATCCCCTCACAGTGACGGGCAGACTTGGAATGAGGAAAAGAATCTGAACCAGCGTCACTTGGCATGCCAAGTACAATCCTGTCTAAAGAACTTAGCAAGATTTGTTTCCTCTGCCTGGACAGCTCTTCACTGAAGTGGCAGAGTGTTTGTGTGCTCACGTTATTAAGTCTTTGTTCAAATGTCACCTGCTTCAAGAAGCCTTTTCTGGTCATCTATCACTCTCTCTCATCTTGCCCATATTTATGTTTCTTCATAGCCTTGATGTTGTGTTGTATGTTTGTTTATTTATTGTCTCTCTACCAGTAGATAATCTAGAATGACAGGTATATTGTGCCTTTTGCTCACAAATGCATGTCTGGAGCCCAAAATAGTGCATGAAATACAAAAGGCTACTCTTAGTCAATATTTGATGAATTAATGAATGAGTGGGTGAGTAGAGTGGGTTGGCTCTCTGGAAGGACTGGGATCAGTAGCTTTGGTTTGCATCCAGAACTGAAATCCTTCTCACAGTTTCTCTGGGGCTCCTGGTCTCTCAGTGCTGATTGATTTAACACATCTGCTCCATTTGTATCTAGGCATTTTATTGTACATGATTCTCCCATACCTGTTGACATGCCCAACCAGGAACAGTCAGTTCTAATTTCTAATTCCCAAGAGAAAGAACATAATTGGCCCAGGTTGGGTTTGGTATCCTCCTCATCCTGTCAGCTATGAACAAACAGGAATCAGATAGAAGGATCCTGGAAGAACCATTCATGTAAGGAAAGGGTGTTCATGGAAGAAGGCTGTGCATCTTCCAAAAAAATGTACTAATGATAATCACAGAACAACAGTGGTGAAAGGAATCTTAGTATCCAGTACCTTTCTCTCTTAATAAATGGAGAAACTGAGGCTCAGGTGAGGAAACTGAAGATCAAACAGCAAAGTGAACAGTAGATCCCAGATCTGGTGACTTGCCTCCTGTATTTTTCACACTCTGCTCCATTGCTGCTTCTCTGCAGAGAGATGTATGAGTTAGCCAGCATGAAACAATTAGAGCAAGATTTCTTAGCCTTCACACTAGTGACACTCTATGTTGTGGGAGGTGGCTGTCCTGTGCACTGTAGGATAGTTAGCAGCATCTGCCCACTACATTTCAGGAGTATAATGACCAGCATGATTTGACCTTCTCCATAAGCAATATCTAAGTATTTTTATGTTATAAATTCATTTTTCCTTTATATTTATCCTCAATATTTGTTAATTATTTGTTTCATGTATACTTAATGCATATGTGTCTTTTAACATTTGTTAATTAAATGCTTTAATATCTTTAGCTTATGCTTCTAAAAAATTTAAAACTATGTCTACTACAACTACTATGTTCAGTACAATATTTGACAACAGCCAGGAAAAAGGAGCCCAGGGCCACCTCTCCATGCACTTGATTGTTTCAAAACTCACCGATCCATTGTAAATGTATAGAGGTCATCTAGAATAGGGCCAGGGCAACACTTGCCCATCCTGCCATAATCTCTTGCCTTGCACAAGGCAATCATCCCTAACTGACCCCAGCACCTTCTACTGAGACACAACATCAGATTCGGCAGCAAGCATTCTAGTTATTTGTTTCTAACCTACAGAAATCTTTTGGGGTCAGAAAACTCTTTTACAACCAATCCTGAACAAGGGACTTTGGTAGGGAATCTGGATGTGAGCTATGTATGTCAAGCCTTCCCTGTGTTTCTGACTCTGAGCCATCCATGGTCTGGGTATGAGCCATCCATTTCCAAAAATTCCTCCTGAAAAATATATTATGCCTGGATTTTAATTCTCAAACCTGTGAGTTCAGAGATAATCTCTTTATTTTATAGATATTTTAAATGGCATAGAGAGTGGATAAAAGGCTGGAATATGACTCCACTTTTGCCTAAATTGATCTCTTAAGCATAAATTGCTATACAAACAGCATTGTGATAACAGGAATTTTGTCTGTTTGAGGTACTTATTCTAATAAAACTGAAGTAATATGTTTTTACATTCTTTTGCCAAAGTCCTTTACCATACATGTAATTTTATAAAGCTTGCAGTCATGCAAAACACCACCTGCCTGTCAGTGGAGGCTTATGTGTTGCTACGATTCTGTTCAAGTTTCAAGGGAGCTTCCAGGCTAAAAATAGATTAAGAAGAAAAGTCTGGCATTCCATTTCCGAAAATCAGCTAATGAAAGGCGTATGAATCATAGCAGTATGAGTCACAGCTCATCATGGGCATGGTACAGGGTGTGCACAGTGTCACCCTGAGTAAGAGCCAACTCAACAGCAGTGAACAACAACAGTTACCATAGTACAGACACAAGTTACACTTCACCTCATGCACTTCTGTCATCTAAACACTAATCTACAATTAGTACCATAAATATTTAAAATTTCAACATTAATTCTGAAGTGAGTTTGGTAGAGAAAAATACCACTTTGTTCTGGAATGCAGTCCCAGTGAAAATCCTATGAAATGAATGTTGGTCGTCATTATTAGCAATGCTAGTGTCTTTTTCTGAATGGATGGAAGTTGAACATTTGCATTCACCCCTTAGCAATCCCTTAGTTTTTTTGCAGATCTCACAAGGGTGTTTAGGTTGATGAATTAAGATTTGGTGTTATCTTACTGTGCTAACAATAAACAATTCAGACAAAAAAAGCAACCAATTGGAAAGAAGAAAGTCTTTGCTTATCCAAATGTACTTTTAATTATAGTATTACCAAAGATAAAGAAAAACCAGAGAAGCACAAAATAATTGCGTGGGATTCTAACAAAATAAACACCATTTGTTCTCAGATTCCATTTGCCTACTCTAAACCTATTTTTTCCAAATATTGGATTTTTTCCCCTCTTTACTTATACTCATATTTCATCAAGAAATCTCAACTTATATGTGCCTTTGGTTTAGCAACTAAACAGCTATCCAAGAAACACACACACCAAATATAAAATAAATCATGTTGACATTTAAAGATTAAAATGAAGCCACAGCTTGATCAAAGAGATTCATTTGTTGATATTTGCTCATCGTTATGAATATTTCAAATCTTATGTAGTCAAAAGTGATCCATTACTGTTTTCCAGGAAGTGATAATATCTCCTCAAGTGTCATTAACAATGTTAATCTTGGTCAAGGTTGCTTACATTAAAAATGTATAAAAGTGGAATGTTGCCATAGTAACTG